ACATGTATTAAATTAAAGAAGTTGGCCAAAAAACAAAAGGAAAGAAACTAATTTTATATTTTTAAAATTTAAAAATAAAAAAAATAAAAAAATAAAAGCAAAACAACCTCTCCTGATGAAATTCACCTTTGCCGACGAAATTGCGTTGGGAGAAATCTAATCCGGCAACTCTTTGCCGGCATAGACCTGTGCCGACGAAGTTTCGTCGGAAGAGGTTTTTTTAAAAAATAAATAAATATAAACTTAGTATCTTTAGGTCAATAAATTGTTTTTTTAAATTTTCTTTTTTAGTAATTAAATAATATCTTAGCCTAACCAAGGTGGTTATTGTGAGTGGTTCGGCACTCTCATTCCTTAAAAGAGGTCAGGGGTTCGATCCCTGGTCTAGTATGGAGTCACCACTTTGGCCAGCACTTTACCTCTTACGAGCCGACCCGGTATGAGCGGGGATTAGTCTGGATTGTGGTTAAGGCTTAAAGGTGCCACCCATAGTTGGGGCTCATCCAGGACCATCTCGTGGTTAAAACCAAATATATATATATATCTTAGCCTGATTTAATTACTTTCATTAGTAATTATGTTCTAACTATTATTTCTCTAGTGAATAATTAGTATTAAATATTTTAATTAGCATCATAAATGATATTACTTAATAAATAGTATTTAGTTTTTAAAATTTTTAAATTTAATAAAATTCTTAAATACTAATCATTCACTAAGTAAACAATAATTAAAACATAAGTAATAATTAAAGTAATTAAAACAGAGAATTTCAGATTATGGTATTTATAGAGTATACCAATTATAAGCGCATATAGAACTTGCAGAAACCTGGAATAGTATTTTACTTGGTCAAGTAAGAAGATATTTTTTGTTAGTAGTTAAATAATCTTATTAAAGGATGAAAATCTAACTACCGATTTTTCATACGGATTTCACTTGGAGCTATTCATACAAAATTCTGTTGGAAAAGTTGGAAGTAAGAAGGTCTTTGTGTACGTTTGCTCCTAGAAGTTGGGCAAAGGAGTATAATTGCAATGTTTAGATTTTCTAAACCGTCTACAATGATTTGTCTTTTTGGTATTTCTGATATGTTGGAAAATATTGATTTTGAAGAGGTTATTGATGATTTTGCTTCTCAAAATGCTAGAAGATCAAGAATTTTTCAGTGATTGTTTGTATTTTTAATGTTACAGCTTTTGTTTTTTGATTTGTAGATGATAGAGTGGAGGTCAAAGCTGCTGTTTGTGTACAATTGAGCCACTTGAGAACTAAGCCCTATTGAAGAGCCACTAAGCCATTTAAGATCTTTTGTTTTGTTTTGTTGAATTGAAGTTAAATATGATTTTTGTTGTTTATGGATCATGTACTTCTGGTTTTTTGTTGTTGTTAGTTGAATGAAATTATTCTATTTAAGCAGGTTGTTTATGGATCATGTACTTTTCAGGCTTAATCGTTTTATGGGGCTTTGCCATAAAAAGAAAAATGAATGAGCAAATTAAAAATAAAACATATATACTAAGGGCCTCATTTAATTTTTGGCCATGGGCCACCAAAATGTCAGGGCCGGCCCTGCCTACACGTATTGGTCTTGTGGTGTAGGTGGTGGCTAAGGTGATAAGTATTGCGGAGCCTCCCCATCCTTGTTATATTACGAAAGCTTGCAGACGTCAGTTTGCCGTGGATTGCTGGTAACATACATTACTCCATTTTCTGTCTTCTTCATTCTCTCCTAATTGTGATGAACAGCCACAGATTGTCTGCCAGTTGTGGTTGTGGAAAATATGGTTTTCATCTTGAAAGAAACCCAAATAAAGAATCTTCAAAAATCTTCAATACGACGTATCATCTGATGTCCACGTCACTCTTATTTTACCAGAGTTATAAGCATTCACTACTTTTTTTTCATTTTTTTGTTGGTCTTCAAAACAACAAGAAGAACAAATCCATTAATTCATACTTGATTAATATTTAGTATGATTGTAACAAAAATTTATTTATTTTGGTATCTGAATTAATTTTCATTATAATTTTTTTAAGAAGTTTGCAGTTTCTGCGTCCATGTTGAATAAAAAATATTTCTTCTTATATTCTCGAAGAGCTACATACAGAGTGGTTGAGTATGGGTGGGCCCTAGCTCGTGGGGAATAATGAATGACAATATTATGCTTGGACCACTGTCATGTCATGTGACATAAACATATGACCAATACTCTTTGGCCACAGGTTTGTGCGTGGTTCACATTAGTATAAACCATGGGTGTATCAATGGTTTATATGGAGATTTTCTAGTAGTGCCTATTAATCATGTCCAATACTTTATAGAATAAAGAATACAATATTAATGTCTTTTTAGAAGTTTTTATCTCACTTGAGGGTCTCCTGCGCACCTTCAATAATTGAGGGTTCATAGCTCACTTGATACCATTTTATTTATACATTTAATGCACTTGAAATTATTAAATTTGTATGAGTTGAAATATTTCATTGGATTCCATAATAAGAATTGAATTATTGGTTCGTACATCATATGATTCACGTTTTGGCTGGTTGTATAACTTTACCCATGACATCATGCCTTCTTTTAAGACAGTTGGACGCTTTGTTTCTCTGTGTTCATTATTTCCACCCCTCATTGCTGATTAAGTGTTCTTACATATAGCTCATGATTGTGCTATTAATAGGAGAAAGTTCTGCCTCAAACTATCTGCATTGAACTTTTCCAGTCAGCTACCAGAGGCAAAAGAAGCTTTGGAGGTGTGTTTTAATCACTTCCATCTCTTTTTAGTTTTGAGTTAATAATTTCTTTTGGTTCCATACTTCTAATTGCTATTTTTCTACACCCTTTTTCTTGAAGCTTTAGTTTGTTATATACGTTTCATGATCCAAACTGTCTAATTTATCGGTGCCTTTATTTAAGATAGACCATTGACATCATTAAACTATATTGCGGGGAGTAGACCTTGATCGCCTTGACCTTGATTTTGTTATGTTATGTATATACCATCTCCATCGATCCACTTCACCAGGGCAGAGAAGGTTTGCAAGCCATGGAAGAACAGAGCATGCACTGAGAATTGTGATTTGCTTAGAAAGGTTTATGTTCTTTGTCTTCTGTATATTGAAAATCATAAACGTTTCTAAACAAACCCCAATTGATAAATCATTTTGACATTTATGATGGCCAATTCTACACATTTGAGCAATCAACAATCTGTTGTCAAGTGACGCCCAAAAATCTGTTTCTCCAATCCTTGCTAGTTCTCCACACTGGTCCTGATTTCAGAAAGAAAAAAAAAGGTTTTGAAATTTGAACTCATATTCTAAGACAAGTGTTTGTCAAACATGAATCCCATGGACAAAAAATGTGTTTCCTCTATATGTAAGTGTTCTGCCTTCAGCCCCTACGCACCATATATGCCCTTGCAGTTGTAAAGCTCCTTTCATCCCTGCTGTTTCCCATACAAACTGGAAAAGCCCAAGAGCCCTGTCCAACTGCCTCACCCCACTCCAAACCATCTCCTCCTCATCTGAAGTCACAATCCTTCCCATTCCCATTTTTGCAAACCAGAAGAGTCTGTAACTTTTGCAGGCGATAGGCGCGTCCATGAAGAGGAATCATGTTCATATGAAATGGATGTGGATGTGTCAGCCAAGAACTTCAGACAGCTAGCAACTATCTGCTGTCCCATCTTCGTCCCTTTGCTTGGGCACCGATGATCTAAATATTCCAACTCGGATTTCAATCCATTGAGTACCTCCTCAAGCGTCCCAGTCCATATGCGGTGCTGTGTAATCTGTGGAGATAATGTAACACGCACTGACTGTCTTTGTTGAGCAGAAATGTTCAGAAAGCCACTTACTACGGAGAGTGTTTTTACAACCATGGGCTCTCTTTCATTTGGTTTACTGAAACACACAAATTGATTACAGATTCTACCACCTGACAACGCCACGACATCATTCTTTAACCTTTGCTGAACTAATGGAGACCCAATAAATTCCCTGGCAAGTGACTTGAAAGTAAGCATTCTGTGTTCAATACGGTCATCCATGATAATTGAACCATCACTGATGTTAACAAGCCTTCCATCAACCAAATCGACATTTTTTAACGATTGGGTTAGTTTTGTTAACTTGGGAATTCCTTTTGATACCATTCTCGGGGCATAGGCTCTCCATGAGACTCCTCTGAGCAATGATATAGCATCCCATTCAAATGGACAGCTCCCTTTCGCCTAGCCATTAGATGCTTTGCACCATGTATTAACCTGTCTACATGTCTACAGGCCATTGTGACCTGGAAAAAAAAAAACCTCAAATAACCCTTCAAGTCGACGCTCCGAAGTTAAAACTGTTCCGACCAAAAAAGAAGAAGTTAAAACTGCAATAGTAAAAGGGCCTTGAATTCGGTAAGGCAATACATCGAACACATGGCGTGCAATTTGTTGCTTTCACATATGACCTGAACGACCAACAATTGGAGACGGCTTACTCGGCAATAACAAAGGTAAGATGCAAGCATAGGAGAGCCAAGATCAAAAGCTTGCCTACACTTCTATTGGGTACAGAAAATGACGAAAGAGACCATGCCACTCGTGTAAAGCTGAAGGAGGAGACTAACGGTTTGCCGGGAAAAAACCTATAACGTATTAACGTGTTTGAAATTGGGTCCAACCGTTTTCAGGGACTTTATTAATGGGCTTGGGCTGGAATTTATGTTGGATCCCTTATTAACAGTCAGGGTTTAATATGTGTTTTGTTCTATTTATAATTTTATCTTCTTTTTTTTTTGGTTTACCCATTTTATTAATACAAGCAAACCGATAATTTAAACGACAAAGGGAGGGGTGTTTCACACACACTACCAAGTTGCTATAGAGGTTCGAACCTAAGACAACACCTAGCAATACCTAGCAATACAAGATTTTGATTTCAGTTCCCTTTCCTGCTTGCTCTCATCAACTAAATGTAATATTTGTTGATTCTGGTTTTAGTACATGATGATGAGGAGGAAAAATGAAGGAAGAAGTGAAGCTCCAAATTATGACATAGAAAACCAGCACAATCCTTTGGAAACTTCGATGAGCCAAGAGTTGGCCAACTTGTCTCCCCTGCCCCAATTGCGTTGTATCTACAGAGTTCCTGAGCGACTACGGCGAGGAAACGAAAACGCCTACACACCTCAAGTAATCTCTATAGGCCCACTTCACCATGGCAAGGAACACTTAAAGGCCATGGAAGAGTTCAAAAAGAGGTATCTAGCGGATTTTCTACGTCGAACCCAAGTAAGCTTGAATGATTATATAAACAAAATAAAGGATCAAGAAGCAAGGTTGCGCAGTTATTATGCAGATTCTATTGAGTTCGACAGTGATCAATTAATAAGAATCGTTCTAGTGGATGCCGCCTTCATCATTTTTGCAAACCAGAAGAGTCTGTAACTTTTGCAGGCGATAGGCGCGTCCATGAAGAGCTATCATGTTCATATGAAATGGATGTGGATGTGTCAGCCAAGAACTTCAGACAGCTAGCAACTATCTGCTGTCCCATCTTCGTCCCTTTGCTTGGGCACCGATGATCTAAATATTCCAACTCGGATTTCAATCCATTGAGTACCTCCTCAAGCGTCCCAGTCCATATGCGGTGCTGTGTAATCTGTGGAGATATTGTAACACGCACTGTCTTTCTTGAGCGGAAATGTTCAGAAAGCCACTTACTACGGAGAGTGTTTTTACAACCATGGGCTCTCTTTCATTTGGTTTAGTGAAACACAAAAATTGATTACAGATTCTACCACCTGACAATGCCACGACGTCATTCTTTAACGTTTGCTGAACTAATGGAGACCCAATAAATTCCCTGGCAAGTGACTTGAAAGCAAGCATTCTGTGTTCAATAAGGTCATCCATGATAATCGAACCATCGCTGATGTTAACAAGCCTTCCATCAACCAAATCGACATTTTTTAACGATTGGGTTAGTTTTGTTAACTTGGGAATTCCTTTTGATACCATTCTCGGGGCATAGGCTCTCCATGAGACTCCTCTGAGCAATGATATAGCATCCCATTCAAATGGACAGCTCCCTTTCGCCTAGCCATTAGATGCTTTGCACCATGTATTAACCTGTCTACATGTCTACAGGCCATTGTGACCTGGAAAAAAAAAACCTCAAATAACCCTTCAAGTCGACGCTCCGAAGTTAAAACTGTTCCGACCAAAAAAGAAGAAGTTAAAACTGCAATAGTAAAAGGGCCTTGAATTCGGTAAGGCAATACATCGAACATATGGCGTGCAATTTGTTGCTTTCACATATGAACTGAACGACCAACAATTGGAGACGGCTTACTCGGCAATAACAAAGGTAAGATGCAAGCATAGGAGAGCCAAGATCAAAAGCTTGCCTACACTTCTATTGGGTACAGAAAATGACGAAAGAGACCATGCCACTCGTGTAAAGCTGAAGGAGGAGACTAACGGTTTGCCGGGAAAAAACCTATAACGTATTAACGTGTTTGAAATTGGGTCCAACCGTTTTCAGGGACTTTATTTATAGATTATTATAAATAAACGGCTTGGGCTGGAATTTATGTTGGATCCCTTATTAACAGTCAGGGTTTAATATGTGTTTTGTTCTATTTATAATTTTATCTTCTTTTTTTTTTGGTTTACCCATTTTATTAATACAAGCAAACCGATAATTTAAACGACAAAGGGAGGGGTGTTTCACACACACTACCAAGTTGCTATAGAGGTTCGAACCTAAGACAACACCTAGCAATACCTAGCAATACAAGATTTTGATTTCAGTTCCCTTTCCTGCTTGCTCTCATCAACTAAATGTAATATTTGTTGATTCTGGTTTTAGTACATGATGATGAGGAGGAAAAATGAAGGAAGAAGTGAAGCTCCAAATTATGACATAGAAAACCAGCACAATCCTTTGGAAACTTCGATGAGCCAAGAGTTGGCCAACTTGTCTCCCCTGCCCCAATTGCGTTGTATCTACAGAGTTCCTGAGCGACTACGGCGAGGAAACGAAAACGCCTACACACCTCAAGTAATCTCTATAGGCCCACTTCACCATGGCAAGGAACACTTAAAGGCCATGGAAGAGTTCAAAAAGAGGTATCTAGCGGATTTTCTACGTCGAACCCAAGTAAGCTTGAATGATTATATAAACAAAATAAAGGATCAAGAAGCAAGGTTGCGCAGTTATTATGCAGATTCTATTGAGTTCGACAGTGATCAATTAATAAGAATCGTTCTAGTGGATGCCGCCTTCATCATTGAGTTCTTACTGAGGAAGTGTTTTCTCGAATTTCGAGATGAAAATGACTACATGTTTGATAAACCCTGGATGAAACATGATGTATCGCCTGACTTGCAGATGCTTGAAAATCAGCTGCCATTCTTCATTCTTGAGGATCTTTTTGACCCTGATAAACTTTTCCCTCCTGCTAGTAGGAAATTTTCGCTAATATTTGTTTCTTTCTATTCGTTCAAAGCTGCAATATATAGAGAGGGAACAAAAGACGACTTGGACAGAATTTTTGTTCCTGGAGTAGAGGTAAAACATTTTGTTGATTTTATGAGAATTTTGTGTCAACCAATGGAACCAAAACCTGGAGGGAAACTTAAATCTCCCACGACACCCAACATGGCAGAGCTACATCAGGCCGGAGTCAAGTTTAATGTGGGAACAAGCAAAAGTCTGTTTGACATAAAATTCTCTAGTGGGGTTCTGGAAATTCCAAAGTTAATAGTATCGGATTCGACAGAGCTGGTATTCAGAAATCTCCTGGCTTTCGAACAATGTCACTGCAAGAACATGAATTACCTAACTAATTATGTTTTCCTCATGAAGCGTTTGGCGACTTCATCAAAGGATGTGGAGCTGCTTGTTGAGCATGGCATTGTTCAAAATTGGATAGGTGAGAACAGTGGGGTATCTACTTTGCTCAATAACCTTGGCAGTGGGCTCCTTGTTAGCAACCACTATTATGCTACTCTGTGTGATGAGCTGAACATCTACTGCAGAACTCGCAGGCACAAATGGATGGCAAATTTGAGGCAAAATTATTTTAACACACCGTGGTCGACTGTTTCTGTCATCGCAGCTAGTGTTCTCCTCATACTCACTCTCATCCAAACAGTCTGCTCTGTCAGATCTATTATTTAAGCTTCCACCACCACTAGTCTCTCCTCTCTCCTCTGTATTCTCCCTACCCTTGAAAGTAGTCTAGTCTAGCTAGCAGGTTCTGGCTTCCTTAAAGTGGGTCGAAGAGATATTTGAATAAAAGAAAGTTTGTGTATTGTATGTCATTGTCACTCTGGCAAGTTGGTGGTAAGATCAGGCTTTGCTCAATCTTTTCATCAAGTTCTTTAACTAATTTGGAAAATGATTTGGAACTTAATTGCATGGGAATGTCTTTATGGTGCACTTACATGCTTACACCATACATACTTCTATACATGTCGACAGGCCATTGTCACCTGGAAAAGAACAACCTCCAAATAACCTTTCAAGTTGGCACTCCAAAACTAAAACTACATCCACCATTTTCTCTTTTTCTTCTTCCATAAGGCATCATCGGTAAAAGGACCACGACTCCGCTACGGCAAAACATCAAACACATGGCGTGCACTTTTATTGCTTTCACATATGACCCGAACATTCAACCATTTCAGACGGCTTGATCGGCAATAACAAACGTAATAAGTAAGAATTAGGAAGCTAGATCACAAGCTTGCCGACAAATTTGTTGGGTACGGAAAATATGAAAGAAACCACGCCTGAAGAAGGAGAGAAGACAGTTAAATGCCGCGAAAAAAGCCATGAAGTGTTTGAAATTTGGACTCAAACTGAACTTTGTGCACGGACTTGGGCCTGATCTTATGTTGGATCCATTATTGAGAAATGGGCTGTATTGGGCTTGAATTGCAGGCAATGACAGACCAACCCAGAACCAAATTATAATTTGTGAGTCATCATCTATATATATAAAGCAAAAGACAGAGCATGGTAAAACATTCGAAGTATTAGAAAATGTCATTGGTTAATTCAAACATTAAGGGGGGCTGTATCCAATTCTAACTTTTAGTGACTTTTAATGAGTTTAAAAGTCTGAAGGTATTCAATTGTGACTTTTAAATAGTCTTTAAAAGTTTAGTTGTATTCAATTGTGAGTTTTAAAGAGTATTTAAAAGTTTTGAGATATCCAAAATGTTAATGACTTTTAAAAACTTTGTTAAATAAATGAATTTTCAATACTTTTAAAGCTAATTCTTACAACCAAAAGTCTTGCTAATTTACACCAGACTTTATTTGTATTGGGGAGCTAAGAAGATAGAAACAAACCATATAGCTTACTATAACAAATGGGAACACACACTCCACTAATAGCAACATGTATTTGGTCCTCCGAGAGATTTCAGTAAACTTTCCATTGCTCTAAGAGCAACAAACACATGACCATTTGCATCAACATGATATCGAAATACAATAACACAACCACAATGAGAAATTGAAATTCGAAATAAAAATACCTCATTGCATAAATAAACAATCAACCTTGTGTATATGCAACAGTTTTAACAAGAGAAAATAAATTAGCTAAAACATGAAAACAAAATCAAAACTTCACTAGCTCGCGGCATCAAAGTCTGGAACTAAACCCATAGCCGCTACATGTTTCTTAAACATTGATTCGCAATGGGTCAACTAACATGTCATCAGTACTGATATAATCAACACGAGTTTGTCATTCTTTACTTTCTCTCTTACCAACAAGTATTTGACATTAATGTGCTTGATATCGTCAGATCTCTTGTTGTTCTTTGCGAAAAATATAGCTGGTTGATTATCACAGAATTGGCCTCTCAATGGATTCAATCACGTTAATCCCATCCCAATGATAAAATTCCTCAACCAACTAATGTATTCTTGAAAATGAAGTAAATTATGATCACAGAGGCGAAGCAAGTAATTTGTTTGAATTGATGCAATCTTTCCATTTTGTATTTTGTCTATCTTTGAAGACAAGTGCATTGGGAGATCAGAAATGCCTTGTCACAAACTTTTTTTTTTTTTTTTTCTTCTAATTTTTTGTTCCATGTATGCTGACTAGTTAATTCAACATATTTAAGACAAATTCAACATATTAATAAATATAAAAATAAGTATTTAAAAGTCTATAAAACTCTATGACAAAAGTGTATGAAAGTTTGTCACTTAACTTTATAAAGTATGTAAGTCATTAAGAATCTGTCAACTCTAGGAAAGTCACTCACTTAAAAAAAGTCTTTCAAAGTTAGAATTGGATACACCCCCCTAAGAATTGAAATTATTAATTAAATGAGGATAATATGATAAATTCACACTTTGTCATATTAAAAAAAATAAAAATTAAAAGAAAATTAAGATAATGAATCATATTTTTATGGAATACAACTACCCATTATCTTTTTTAATCCTAAAATAAATTTTAATTTTTTTTTAAAAAGCATATCACAGGCGTTGAAGCACGTGCGGAGAGGTTAGTATCTCTTAATCCAAAGGTTAAAGAGATGGAGTGTCATCTAAGGGTGTTATAACGCCCTCACTATAGGATTCTTGTATAATTTGTTCTCTTTTTTTTTTTTTTTTTTTTCTCTTTGTATTGGAAAAATGGGTTGCTTTTCAATTGGACAGAAAGAGAAGGCAACAAACTTTAACAAAATTGAACATGCCTGGCTTATAAAAAGTAAAAAAAAAAACCTTTAAAAAGCCAATTTTGCATCCATTGAACTGGATTAAAAAGTGCCCTTGTTTTTCCTACCATTGACCATCACAGTGTTGTTAAGTTCAAACATGTTGTACTTAATCCGGTTAATTGTCTGGTGTTGATTGTTTTTGGGACCCAATCGGCATTTAAATCATGTCAAAAGCTGTTCATGTTCTTCTTTCACGAGCATGATGAGTCTTTCAATTGTCTTGTCCTTTGTTAAGATTGATAAGTAATCAGAAATTATCCTCCGTTTGGATGAGGAAAAATAATTTGGAATTTAGCCAAAAGTTGGGAATTTAAAAGGAGAAATTGATCATTCCCTTGTTTGGATAACTTAAGCGGAATTTATTAAATGATATGCATAAAAAATCGTGGAAATTGCTGCATCAAATTTCCGAGTTTAATTTCCACCAAAATAAGTGTTATTTTATAATTTCCATAGTGTCATTTACAAAATTCTGTCATTTACAAAATCCGACATACCTAAATCCAAACACTGAAATCTTCAATTGCCAGAAATTAAAATGATGCAAATCTAAATTACGTCATTTTAGAATTCTATTTAATTTTCAATTTCTTCATCAAAATGGAGGGTTATAGAATTCTCAAATTATAAGTTTGCCAAATTTAACATATCTTCGAATGTCATTTCTTTCCTACAAGTAAGATTTTGTCCTGCATATCACGGATGAAATTATTTAATCAATATAGAAGAAAAAAAGTGGAAACTAATAAATATTCTTTTTGTTCATTTTCACATGCAATAAGATTCAGATAAAGAAGAAGAAAAAAAAAATTCTCAATAAGCAAGTTTTGACATGATTGAATGTAAGGTACTTCATGGCACTAGTTCACTAAAATCAACAAAGCATATATAAAAATGAAGTAACATAAAGCCAAGCTTAAAGTGAAACAAAGAATCTTGCTAAAAGCTAAATAATGGAGTGTAGTAGCAGACAAGAATGAATGTGTTGTTGTTGCTTTTTGACCAATAAAATGTGCATTTTGCAGTACTTAAAAACCCAACCCCCATGAGGTCAATGAGGGAACCCACGAAAGGTGTTTGCTGAAAAGTTTGGGAATCCTATGTGAGTTTAAGCTTTAAGTTAAAATATGTTCAATTAGAGAACTTTGTTTTGGAAGCTCATCATCAGATTTGTCAAGGTTAACCCCGTCCGTTAATCAAAGAATCGAATGTTAATTAGAATTATGGTTTTGCTAACGTACGGCTTCAACTTCAATCGTAAATGTGGGAATAAGTGCTTTATCACTCAAATTATAAATTTTGTAAATATAAAGATGAGTGCTCTAACACCGAAACTATAAGCCCCATATACTTCAGAGTTAGTAAAAACCTTACTAATTCCCTACCAATCTTTCACCTTATTTTTTTATTTTTTTTCAATCATTGCTTTTCTTGGTTATTGCTGCATTTTCGCCAAATGAATACTTTATCTCAAGAGATTAAATAAGCATGAGAAAGGGTATATATCTCCAGCACATATAATAAATAGTTTTCATTTACTAATTAAGCATATATGCTCACTTAGTTAAAACGGAGTCTGCTCAGCAACGGATAGCCCAAAGGAAAATGTCTTGACTTGCAGATTAGTTAGTAGTCTTAAGTTCAAACCCTTATGGTACCTTGGCAGTGTGTGTGAGAAAATTCTCATCCTCCAATATCGCTTGAATTTAAAAAAAATATTGGAGTTTGTTCAAGTTTCAACCTCCCACTGACTGCTGCGACAAATGGACACGCATTGAACTTGAAAGATCACTTCCATAATGGAAAGCAGTCCTTTAATCTTGAAAACACAAAAACATACAATTGAAATTGATCGATCGAGTTTGAATTGTTGGACTTGATATTGGTTTCCGAAATATATATTGTGGAACATATATACATCTTTTATCAATGCTCCAACTCCCTTGCAAAGGGAAATTTCTCTAGAATTAGTTTTAATTCTTAAAATGTGTAGAGATAGAAATTTTGAATTCCCTGGCCTTGCTGCGTTGTTTGAACCAAAGGATCTGGTTTATGGTCCATGCATGACGTGAACAGCTCCTTTGGTATATATTATTGTTTTGCAGATATATCATTTGCAATTTTTAAGTACTCAAATATTCCTTGGACCACTCTTAGGATAAAAGCATTCTTGATACTAGGGATGGAGCATCATCCACCATATATATCCACTTTTCTCTCTCTCTCTCTCTCTTCTCGAACCATTAGCCAATTGAGAACAAGGAAAGTAAATAATTACTTGCAGCTGGGGCAATGGTGCTTAAATTCTCCAAGACACAGAAAGGGATGATAAATTAGTTTAATAGTACCAGAAAACTACATGCCTATATAGTTCATATCATAAGAAAGCTCACAAAATGACAAATCATTTAGCTTTGTTAAAGTACTACTTCATCAAGTCTTCATCAGACACAATTCAAATTAAGCTCCTTAGAAAAATAAAAGATAGAAACTGGAAATGAAGGAGGAGAAGGAAAAGGGAATTGAAAGAGGAAAAAAAAATATAGAAGGGTGGTCATCTGGCCCACTAAAGGAGTAGCTAGCTCAAGCCATCATACGGGAATCATGTTCTTCTCTCAGTTCCTTCAGCAAAGCACAGCAGTACCTGAATATATCATCAACATTTATATATTAGTTTACAAACCGAAAAAGAAAAAGCAAAATAATTTAATTAATTAACTATATATTTTTATATATCTTATGTACATACTCACTGAAAATGATGAAAATTTACGGGTTAATATGGAGACTTGCCACCATTGTTGTCCCTTGGAGCATTGCATCTGAAACATTCCGTCCTGCTAGCGAAGTTGTGCTCATTGCACCCTGACCTGTCCAATTAATTCAACTATTACATGTTTAATGCATATAGGTGCATACTCATATATGTAAATTTTTTGCGACATGTTGTATATTATGTTATATGAGAGATGTGATCAGTAATGTGATATGATTTATAAAGTAACCTTGTGCAAATCCAATCTCCAGATTTCCATCCAGAGCGACCAGAGCTACTTCCACCGCTCCCAAATCCAAACCCTCTACCCTCATAGCCGCCACCACCGCCACTGGATGATTCATCCTTGGACGCACCACACTTAAAGCAGCTGGAGCGGCTGGCAAAGTTATGCGCTGCACAATTGCCAATGGTGCAGTACCAGTCACCGGGGCGGACATCCGGGCCGGTGGTGAATCCAAATGAACCACCACCTCCACCTCTTCCACCAAAACTTCCATACTCAACTCTATCCCCACTTTTTGGCTCCCCGCACCTCTGGCACGACTCCCTCCTTTGGAAGTTGAGATGGTTGCATGACCTACAGTTCCAATCTCCTGGCCTGCTCATGTTTCTTAATTTGAGCTCTTCTAGATTTCAGAGAATATTACCAAAAAGAATTTTAAAAAATATATTAGTTAGCTAAAATGCATCATTTAACAAACTTCAAGTTCATTATGGAAAATGAACTACAAAAGCTCAAGAGTGAATATGAAAAGGTCTCACCTTGAGAAAGCAGAGTTGAATAGAAATGCCTGAAAATTAAGATTAGTGATGGAGGAATTTGGTGATTAAAGTGATGGGGTTGGGGAGGTTTTTATACTTGCTTAAGGGCCTCGAGAAACGAGTGGTGGATTGTACCCAGTAGAGGTTTAGGGTGTGTGGTTTTTCTTTTTTGATATTCTCTCTTCATCACTTTGCTTCCTTGAACAATGGAATGTATATCATAAAAAAGAAAACCAAAATGGGAAAAAGAGATAAAGAAATATTGAAATGGGATTCAAAAGATACTAAAGAAAGAAAGAATTTGATGATAAAGCTTTAACTAGTGTACTTTAGGGTTTCCAGAGGTTGCAAATGCATGAACATATCCATAAATTTATTTTAGTTCCATATATGCCCTTCTTTTTAGCTATCCACCATGTACTCCCATAGCTAGAAATGGCTAGTTAGTTTGAATTTCATTAGCACTATAGGCTTGTAAAAAAAAAAGAGAAATTAATTAATGTTTTCTAACCAGATTGAGCAATCAAATTTTTCGTTTATATATATGTTCATGCCATCTAAATTTACAGTTTGAGAATATAGCTTTGTAAGCATATATTCTGGGACGGTCCCTTGGGTTGTCTAACCTGGACTATATAGCTAAGGTGAGTTAATTGTTTTCCTTTTTTCCCTATAGTTAGTATGTAGGTTTAAGGTTTAGTCCAGTTCAAAATTAACAACCCACCCTTAAGGTAAATCTAGCTCACCTCATTTTGAAATCTTGGGTCCGTCTCTACATATATTACCCTAAAATATATAAAAGTAGAGAAAATGTGGCATGCTTTAAAGTGAGTTCGCAATGCTACACCTTGGTTAAATGTGTTATTGTATGGAACATTTTTTTTTACATAATTAAGACGCAAGTTTCTGAGAAAATTAAGATGACCTTCATAAGATATTGTTTCAGGCAATTTGGTTGGTGTGGGAGAGTCAAATTCCAGCCCCTTTTAAGATATTGTTTCCATCTAGCTCAATCATTCAGAAGAGATAGATACATATTACAGCAAATGATAGGGATGTTTTTTTGGTCGAAAATGATAGGGATGTAATCACAATTCAAAGTTAAAAAGTATTGTTCCTTAATACAATGCGCAAATTTGAAAAGCAACAAGGAAAACCATGTTGATTTGACTTTGTTAATTTATTCGTACAACAACTATCTATATGTTCATGTCCCCACAAAAAGAAAATAGCATGCATTGTAACCTCTAAACACAGCATATAGCCATGCACCCCAATGTCTTTTAACTATTCTAATCTATGAACAACATGAAATTCTTTTGACCATTTGAATATATTTATTAGGAGTCACCTTCCTTCTTGTTGGCTTTCTTGTTGAGTCAGGACTGGATAAGCAGGAACAAAATTCACTGTTTTCCTGCCAGACAAAATGAATATTCTTCACACATCAAAAAACCCTTAAGAGTGGTCAAGCCTGCTTTTCTGTAATTTTATAACCCCACATCCTAAGGGTGTCACTATACAAGGAAAAATGGTGGTTGCTTTTCAATTTTTCTTGAATATTCTTTCTTTGTACTTGGAACTACAAAAATTTCCTCCAAGTCAAAAGGGTTTTTAGGGTTACCACAGTTTCTCTCCCCCAGCCCAGAAAAAAAATTTAAAACACGAAAGCAATTGATCCATTGTTTGGTCGCTTAGGGCAAGTCAAAAGGGTTTTTAGGGTTACCACAGTTTCTCTCCCCCAGCCCAGAAAAAAAATTTAAAACACGAAAGCAATTGATCAATTGTTTAGTCGCTTAGGGTAACTGCACATACGTTGATAAGAACTGTAGCAAACTGTAGAACACAGGATGTTGTAATTTGAGGGGATTCAATGTACAAAAATACATAAAAATATGGTCACACTCGTGCATGTCAGCTGGTTTGCTAATTTAGAGAAGATACGTTACCGTTGCCCAAGACATAGGCACATAGCTCATGAAGCCAAACTCAAGCTGTTGCATGGCTAAAGATGTTCAAAGAACGTCCACATTAATTATATTCTGTGACCAAATTTTAATAATTGAGTTCAGAAACATGGATTGGAGTGGAGGCTCAAAATCAAAGAAAGAAAGGGGAAATTAATTGGTAGAGTTTCGATAAAGATAGTCGAAGCTGATGATGATGGAAGAGGAGTCTTCGAGGTTCAAATTTTGACCATCTTTTTAATCTTTTTCTTTTTCTCACTGGTTGTGTACTGCAATTCATGCCTTTTTCACTGTCGTTTTTACTTTCCCCCCCGTCCCCCACCTTACTCGTCCTCACAAATCTTCATTTTGAATCTTTGAATAATTAAGTGAAATAATAGAAAAGAAAATCGAATTATTATTATTTCAAGATTATTCACCACTCACCATGCCATTTTTTTTTCTTGGGGAATGGTAAAGAAGGCTGTAGCAAACTGTGAAAAAGCAAAAACAAAGGAGGGGACTGATTCGATTCTCTCATTGGGAAATGCCTCCATGCATGACCATGACCAAGCCCAATACATTCCACCCAACGTATATATATGATCTTTTAGCTTTCTCTCTTTAAATACAATGTAAAACAATTCTGATTAAAGGCCATTTGAAGATGTTCGTGTACAAGTATTAATGCAAATTCAATTTGTTTGCATTATCCACTTTCCCTTATATACCAATGGACAAAGCGATGGAACCTTATACCTTTTGACCAATTTCAAATTTTACAGGCAAGTTCTTGATTTGATTCTGAAAATAAAATAAGAAAACTTCAACAAATTATATACATAATGTCAAGAGTGCGAATCCGAAATTGAAGAATGTGAAAGATTTTGAACCTCTTCATTCATTATCAATTAATTTTGAGTTAAATGCTCACATTTTAATATAACGATATCAATGGATACTGTTCACGTAACCCACCTATAATAATGTTTAGAATTATTTTCCTTTTTAAAAAAAAAAAGTAACAGATTTAGTAAACGAATGTGATTATCTAAACATAAAAATCGAGAATACTACAAAATATATATTTTATGTTTCTACGTAATGCGTGTTTGGTTGCATGCACGTGAGATGAGTGTGATGTCATCACACAATGATAAAAGTTACCTCTTTTCTTTTACTTTTTCGTCCTCCAATATCTTTTACATTATGCTCTGAGAGACTACCCTAAAATGTCCACCTCTTTGATCTTTTTTTTTGCACGGTTTTCCACCCTAACCCATCTCCAAATATCATTCATCTTTACTACAGAAACGTTGCCCTTTCCGCTTTACAAAACAAAACACAAAATTCCTCAATTTCTTTTAATAAAAAATCTCAACTTCTTTTGCCCGCTTCTTTTCCACCAAGATGACTGTAACTTGGGATTAAGTTTTTGTTTTATACATAAAATCAGGGGCGGCCCTTCAGGTTGTGCAAGTGGTGCCATCGTGTAGGGCCCCGAATTTTTAAGGACCCTCAATTTCTTTTACATGTATATTAATATTATGGGTATTATATATATACTTGAGCGTGCAGTAACATAACACAAGTACGTATTTGGTTGAGTTGGAATTCATAACCTTGATTTTAGTAGGTAAGTTGGATTTAAGTCCATATTGTGTCATTCAGTAGTTGTATATTTACATTTCTAATCTATTTTTTTTATTGTTAACAATAGGAAAAAAGAAAAAAGAAAAAGAGGAAAGCAATATATACGAGTTTTCTCCAATCAAAAAAAAAAATTTGGAGTTCAATTTGAGAAAATGGAAAAGGAAACAGACATTAATTTTTTTTGTTTCATTTTGAGTGGGTGAAAATATACACATTAAAACTTTTATGAATGTTATTTATGATTGCTATTGCATGCTAATTAATAGATGATGAATTTTAGTTATTAAAAAAAATTATTTTATGGTGTTAAGTCCTGGCAAATTTTTTTTATAAATATTTTTATATTAGATTGAGGGCTCCCATTTAAGTTTCACACAGTGCCCTCAAAATCTCAGGACTGGCCCTGTATAAAATGGAATAATTTTGTAAGGGGTTTATAGTTATGATGATTAAAAACAGTTACTCATGCACTTGAAATTATGTGTTCGAATCCCCCTCACCCAGTAGTATCGCTTATGTCAAAAAGATAAAATGCAATAATTCTTTGTTTGTGATGTTATCATTGAGAATAGAGAGTATGACTAATTTCTGACCACAAAAAAAAAAAAGAAAAAAAAAAGACAGTGACTAATTCTGTATCCAAGAAATATGGGACTATTCTTTACCCAAATAAGAAGGGAACTATTTTTTACTGGACTTGGATTGACCCATTTTCAAATTGATGTTGGTGCCAGCCCATGATTGATTAATTTGGGCTCAATTCGTGGCCCATAATTGTAAGAGACACTTGGGTATAATAAAGAAAAAATAAATGTGGAATTTCTTTTTATGCAAATGCAATAGCATAAAAACTCTAAAATAGGCAGCAGGAAAAGCTGTAAATGAACTTGGTTATGAACAATTATGCCTAGGAAATTCTAGCTTGCTAGTATTGCTACCTGCCATCTACATCTGAAATCGTTATGTCATTTCTCGATCGATGTCTTTGCCTACTTGAAGATGAATCTGCATCAGTGGAACTTAATTGACTTAAAAATGCAGGTTCTTTTGGAAGAGGCAGAGCAATTGTTTCATTGCTTAGCATCGAAAAAACATCTGACATGTTTGGTCGATCCATGGCTCTTTCTTGCACGCACAAAAGACCCATCTGAATGCATCTCGTAACTTCAATGCTTGAACATGAGGCACTCAATGTTGAATCCATCAACTCCATGCTCTTGCCTTCTTTCCAAAAATTCCAAGCCTAAAACAATTAAGTTTCACAAATCTTAGCAACAATTAGTACATGCAAACCTATAAAAAGTGATTAGATGTAGTTTGTGAGGCGTTTGTTAAAGGTGCTTACTCTGCCTAGTAAGTTAAGAGAATGATCAGTTTCAAAGAAGGCTATGTTCTTCTTTCCACTTATGATCTCTAATAAGATCACCCCAAAGCTGAATACATCTGATTTTTCAGAAAAGACGCCGTCCATTGCATACTCCGGAGACATGTAACCACTAACAATTAGATTATAAAATGCATTAGACAATTTTGTACCAAAAGAAGAAAAAAAATACTAGGCAGCATGTA